TGTTTTCCTCCTTTTATTTTTAAAATAAAAAAAAAAGTATCTGAGATCATCCAAGGGCTACTGTGAACAAAGCACAGTATCTACTATTTTACACAGCCTCAGAGTGGTGTGAGATTTTTGCTATGTACAATCCATCACTCTTTCGTACATTCAACAATCTTTAGTAAACACATAGTATTACTATCCTAGATACATCCGTACAAAGGTGAATAGGAAATAAAAGGTAGGTCTTTGCTTGTGAGAGGGAGAGGCAATCTATTCTTACACATATCTTGAACCAGTGTCATGAAGGAGAGCTGTGTGGTACAATAAATCTATAAATGGTAAAATACATCCAGTTATCTGGGACAGGAGGGACTGAGGTTTAAGGTAATTTTGGGGAATAAGAGTTAATTCAAGCAAAAAGGGAAAGTCTCAGAGGTTCTGTGGTGAAGATAGAAGGGCAGTGCAGTTGCAATACAGAGGACAAGCGGTAGCACAGAGTAAGGCAAGGCCAGGGCAGAAAGCAAGGGTCTGCCTCCAAAGAGACACGGCGATGTTTCTTACACTAAAAGCACTCAGTAACAACTGAGTTTTGAAGGCATTTTCTCTAGCCACAGAGTAGAGCACATCTTTGAAGGGATTGGGGCAGATGCATTGGAGACTAGTTAGAAATTTAACAGGATTTTTATTACGGTGTTATTACTTGCTTCCCAAAATGTGTAGTGCCCAAGATTTAGCTTTTTATATTTTTTAAAATGCAGATTATCATTGAACAATGTATTGGCTAAGTAGCAAAATTTAATAAATCCATGTGACCCTTGGAAAAGACCTTTCTGAGAAGCTAAGAATTGGTCCTACAAATCTGAGAGCAGGCGCATGTGATGTATCATGATATGAGGTTGGAGATTACTGAGGAAGGGCATGGTGGAGCTAGAGAATACCTAACTGACAGCATGCTGGTAGAGAACTAGGAATAGCAATTTAGAGGGGATACACACGGTTTAATGACAACTGTTACTTCTAGGGTATCACTTTCTATAAGTAAATTTAATATTTTTATTAATTTGATACTAAATATTACAGTTTGAAATGGACTGGTTCAACTATAATCCCAGCATGTTGGGAGATTGAGGCAGGAGGCTTTCAAGTTCCAGCCCAACTTGGCAAACCTGTCTCAAAATAAAAAATTTTAAAAAGGATGGGGGTGTAGTTCAGTGTGACGGTCCTAGGTTCAATCCTCAGTACTGAAAACCAAAAAACAACAAAACAAACAAACAAACCCCCCAAAAACCTACCCTGCATAAAAGTATATCAAGGCATAAAGTTTTCTTGAGTAATGATCTGTTTTCTATTTAATGGCCCTTGCATCTCATTTACACCATTTAACTCCTCTTCATACAATACATTTTTCTATGGCCACAATGTTCTCTTTAGAGATCTTAGAACAGGCCATGCACTTCATGTCTGTTTCCTGCTGCTTCCCTCCCTGATGCATACCTACTCATCCTTCAGCGTCCAGCTCAGATATCACCTGCTCTGTGGAATTTTGCCCAACACCCACAGCCAGAGATAATTACTCCCACCTCAGTGTTTCCATAGCAATGTGCTGATATCCTTATTATAGCACTCTGCATGGTGGTTAACGTCACTGTTTATACTTCAGTTTCCCTGTTAGACTGTGAGGGAAGAAACTGTATCTTTAACTGTTGATCCATGTAGCAGAGAACAATGCCTGGCACAAAAGGCACTCAATAAATGTTTGCTGATGAACAAATAAGTGTGTAAGACAAAGAAATATGTCTCAAAATAGCTGTTTCTCCATGTATCACATCTTCTGCAATACCTTACTATTTTCTCCACCATTACCTTCCTAGTGACACTGCTAGCTAGAAAGAAATGCTTGCTTTCTCTTCAGTTTAGCATGTACAGACTTGTCCTTGAGTGAACAGCACTTCTAGGCTGCTTTCTACTTAGAATTTTTAGGCAAAGGATTGCCCTCTAAAAGATGTTCATCTTTTTTCATCAACTACATGGTCACTGACATATATATACCTCAAAATTTTAAAATTCTGTATTTTACGAATTTCTTCAGCTAGGGAAGAAAATGTAGAAATTTGTAATTTTAATAATCCTATGCTCTTGGTTTAATACAAAAAGATCTACAATTTTATCATTTGGAATATGATTTAAATGGACATTTATATGGTTAAATACCAGCTAGGCTTTGAAATAAAAACTTAGAATTGGGAAGAAAGCAAACCAAAACGGACATTATTTCTGCATTTGTTTGATGCTCTAATTGATTCCTACTACAGTGATAGCATGCAAGAGATGCTCATAAACAGTGGCAGCTGTTAATCTATTACTTTTAAAATCTATCCAATTTCTTACAAGAACAACTTTCCTTCCCACTCAAATATTTGACAAGTTAACTTTAAAAGCTCTCTATAAATTAATTAAAGCCTATGAAAATCTATTAATAATATATGCTACTGAGGTTACATAAATAGTTCTGAGTTTGTTTATGGTATGTTTCTAACAAAGAAGTTTAAAAGCAAAGCCTCTTGTTACTGCTAATGTGTAACAATAATGTGCAAACTGATATCAGTAAATTCTGTAGTCTCAGAATCCATTTACTTACTTAATATTTTAGGACACAGAAAAAATAACTAATACTGCTATTTAATCATCCACATTCTTATGAAATGAAAGCTTATTAGTTGCTTAGCTTCTTGGTACTTTTGACTAAATGCATTATACTTGCTAGAAGCCTACATTTAGTAGACTATCAATATGTATCAAGAAAATCAATTGCAATATATCTTACATTGTCATGAAAAAAGTGATACAGATCAGTGATTTGCCTATTTTTTTCCCATGAAAGTATTAAATGCAGACATTTTGATGAAAAGGGATATTTCCTTGATATAAACCAAGAATTTCTACTGTACTTTTGACTACATGCTGGGAATGAAACTTCCTTTTTAAAGTTAAAGGATTACTAAAATCAATTTGATATCAGTTTTCACATTATGCACAACTGAAAAATGAAGCCAATTTATATTTGTTTAAACAATGACAAAAGTTCTCAACAGTATTATGCATTAAATTACCATGTTCCAGTCTGTCTCAACTTTTCTGAATATGGGTTCCTTTTTCCGCACTCCATTCTCCCATCCAGAAATGGTTTGATTGTTACTTGAAACTCGGACATAATGATCTTTCACAATATTGTAACAAAGGTACAGCTGTTTAGAAATCTTCTCATTTTCAGAGGGAATGAGCAGGATTTCCTTTCTCTTAAAAAGAAAGCAGAGTTAGTTTTTCAACTTTATCGAAGATATTAAAGGAGTACATTATGTATGGTAGTAAGAGACTCCAACTTAAAAAGAAAGAAATTATACCAATAGAAAAATCTAGAAAATATCATTTCTTCCACCATCACCACCACTACATATTATTTTGTCTACTACAAATAATCTACAGTTGACTTCCTTGTGTTAAAATGTATGTCCTCTTGTATCCATGTTCTACACAGTGATGAAAGGGAGCTTTTAATCAATATAAACGGGGATACGTCTCTTTCCTATTTAACTCACTTCACTGACTTCACAGAATAAACTCCAAAATCATTACCAATGGGTTACAGGCTCAGTATGATTTGTTCCCTGCTGACCTGTTTAACTAGGACTCATGTTACTCTTCCCTTTTATTTTTATGCTCCCACTATGTTAGGTTTCCTTTTATTCTTCAAAAATGTGCAGTGGGCTCTTGTTGTAGGTTGACACATACTGTCTGTCTAGCTAGAATGGTGTTCTTTCTAATCACCATATACTTGATTCTATCTCATCCATTTGGCCTCAGACTATACTCACTTCACCAGAATCTCCTTTCCTGGTACTCTAAGCTAGGGGAGTGTCTAACATAGCTTAATACTGTCATCTGAATGTGTGATATTACTGTAATAGCTCATTTTTACCTTAAAATTGCACACAATTTTTGTATACTAATCCAAAATAAATTCGTATTTGTTTTAGTATAAAATAACCCCTATTTCCTGATATCACTGAGTGAATCTAACATTTGAAAGAGAAGATACATTTATCCTGTGCTTTTATGTGCTAGTGACTCAATGGCTTCTTCTCCTTATGTATAGCCATAGTAGCAACTGGAGTTAGACAGTCCTTGGTAGTGGAGGGTATCCTGTACAGTGCATGTTAAGCATTTTATGCCTACTAGGTGCCAATGGCACTGCCCCTCTTCCAAGCCATGACAGTAAAAAGTCTGCAGACATTGTCAAAGGGTCCCTTAAAGGGAAAATCATCCACTGCTGAGCACCACTAATTTGTTTCAACATCCTGCTATAGTAATTACTAATTGATTAGTCAGGTAGGCAATAAGTTTTTTGTTAAGATTTAGGCAGGAGGTATTAAAAAATACAAACAGTGGAATGTGTAAGAATCAATTAGCACAACATAAAAATACCGTAAGCACAAAAAAAGATACATGTATATATCACTGTTAGAATTTTAAAAGTCTCATTAAATGTATGAAAGAGAAGGTAATTTTTAGGAAAACCTATGAATATTGATGCCAAAAAGGTAAACAAAGGAGTTTATTACTTTTAGAAATTGATTTTATAATTATGGATTGTTGTACTACATGTTACAATGACCAAATAACAAACATTTTCCAACTGTTTCCTTCTCACTGTTTTTTTCCCTCAGTGCTGGGGATTGAAGCCAAGGCCACAGGTATGCTAGGGCAAGTGCTCTACCTCTCAGTCACATCCCTAGCCCTGTTTTCTTTTTTAATCAAAGGTATTTCATAATGCTAACACAAACAATCTGCAAATAAAATCTAAAAGGATTCTCTACTATTTTAGAAAGGATAACTAATTACTAAAGGAAAAGAAAAATACACGTTGGTCACTGAACACAGCATGTACGTAAAACGAACAAAGCAATGTGGAGTAAAACTGACATTAATATTCATGTCTTAAATCTAAAATTAAGATAAAATTGTCATTCTGAAAATAATACCAACAATGTTTCCTTCATTTTGCAAATAATAAGATTTAGTTCCAAATTTTTTAGGATTGCTTATAATATCTATGTTTTAAATTGAACACAGCTGTGAATTAAATTAGCTCTTTTTAAACTGGCTTCATTTAGATTTATGCTTGCAACTTGCACTGCATCAGCAGTGATTTGAATTATTTGTTGAGTTTAGCTCTGGTAATTCCGTGGCTGAACCAATACTTCTAATTGCCTGCTACAGATGATAGGATAAATTAAAATGCAAACATAAAATTTATTGGCGATAATTCACTCCTGGGCATTTTCCCTCAGTAGAGGAATGAACTGTATCAATAGCAAATTTAGAAAAAGTTGTATAAACTTTACTTTGTTTGATACTGATATATGATGAATTATTTTCCTTTAAAGTATTTTTCTTACATATTTTCTTAGATATATATATTAAATATTCTCCAGTGATTCAATTTTAAGCTCCCTAGGGCAAGATATAATCCAGTGCACTTTTTAAATGTTCATTACAGAACCAAGCACATTGACTTTCACCTGGTTCATAAATAGGACTTAACTCCTTTATAGAAATTAAATTTCCACCAGGTGTGGTGGCACATGCCTGTAATCCCAGCACTTGGGAGGCTGAAGCAGGAGGACTGCCTTGAGTTTGAAGACAGCCGGCATGCCACATAATGAGTTAAAGGCCAGCCTGCACTACATAATGAGACTCTATCTCAAAAAAACCAAAGAAACAAAACCAAGACCAAAAGAAATTAAATTTCCATTGTTATTTAATTTCTGGAGATCAAATGACAATACTACTAAAATAAGTCTGATAATAAATAGAAGTCACACCAACAATTATTTCCTGTTGGGTTGGGAGGTCACAATCCCAGCAGTTGGGAGGCTGAAGCAGGATGACTGCTTTGAGTTTGAGACCATCCTGGGTTACAAAGTCAGTTCAAGGCCAGCCTGAACTACAAAGGAAAAGCCTGTCTCAAAAAACTAACAAAAACAAAAACAAACCCTCAAACCCAGTGATTTTGCCAATACCAGATGCATGCAAGCATATACTAAGAAATATACTTTTATCACCTGAATTACCCAAATGCTGAATTTCCCTATACTTTTTTACATTTTCATATGGGGGAAAAAAAAGTAGTTTTTTTTTTTGATGTATCAAAATCTTATTTGAAAAAAATCTGAACAGGCACTTTGCAAGAGAGGATACAGTACTCACCAAAATGCAAACTCATACTGCAAGAGTACTATATACTACCAGAATTGTTGAAAAAGAGGTACTATAATACCAAATGCAGGCAGAGATGTGAAGAAAAATCTCACATGTTGCTACTAAGAATGCATACTGGTACAACCACTTTGGAAAACTGGCAGTGTTGTGGTTTAGATCTAAAATGTTTCCCAAGCTCTCAAGTGTTTGGAAGGTGACTGGATAATGCGGCTGCTATACGCATCAGCAGACTAATCCACTCATGAGTTCTTCGCTACATGTGCTGTTAGGAGTTTGGGCTTATTTAGAGGTGGGTCACTTGGGGGATGTTACTTGGAAGGGTGTATTCTTGTTCCTGCTCCCCTCTTATCCTTCTGCTTCCTGGCTGCCATGGGTAAGTAGCTTTCCTCTGACATGCCCTTTTTGCCTTGGAGCCAACCAAAAATGCACTGAATCTTGTAAAAATCTTAAGCCAAAATAAACCTTTCTTCCTTTAAATTGTTGGGTGTTGGGGTATCCCAGTAAGGAGAAAATGATTAACAATGGCAGCATCTACCCAAGTCTGAACATACACTCTCATGACTTAGTGATTCCACACTTGGGTACATATACAATAGAAATGCATAAATGTATTCACTGAAATACATAAATCAATGTTGACAGCAGCACACTTTAACATAGTCAAAACCTACAAACAACCAAAATGCCTGCTAATAGTGAAATGGATAAAGTATAATACTGTTATGGCATGCATCTAGATGACCACAGAGCCTCATGTACTCATAGGTGGGGCTTTTCTGAGGTGGACAGATTCAGAGTGTGTGATACTGGGATTAAGGGCACTTGGTAGTAGATCAGTCCACTAATTAATTTATCATAGTTCTGGTTCTGAAAAAGAGGACGGCCTGCCCTGGGTGTGGGTGGAACTATCCAAAAGTATTGTAGCCTAGATGGGACAAAAGGAAAAGTAGCTGCTTGCTGCCTTCTGCCTGACACACCATGAACTGTTTCTTCTCTGTGATTCCCCTCTGCCATGCCACACTGCCTTGGACCCAGCTTATGATGGACTAAAACTTCTACAAACTGTAAGTGGAAATAAACCTTTCTTTTTTAATTTGTGGGTGTCAGGTTTTCTGTCCCAGCAATGAGAAAAGTAACTAAGACAACAGATTGGCATAGTAGAATATTATACAGAAAAGAATATTTATGAATTTCACTACCATAATGTGTGAAGAAAAGCTATACACAAAGAGTACATACTATATGATACCATCTAAATATTCACCTGCATAATAACAGATAAAACTAAGATGCGATGTTAACAACCAAGATAATGGTTACTTTTGGGAGTGCCAAGTATCTACTGGAAAGAAACTCATGCTTGTTTCTGGGGTTCTGGTGATCCACTGTTTTGGTCACTGATTATATACAGTGGTACCTTGGTTCATGAACAGTTTTGTTTGCAAATGATTTTGCTTGCAAATAAAAGCATTTGGCAAAGTTTTGGTTTTGTGTGCAAACTATGCATTGTGTGGCAAACATGAAGCCATCTTTCTTGTACAAACACAAATGTAGCCATCATTTCCAAAATCATGGAATAAATTAAGTTCATGAACTGAGGGACCACTGTAGCTGTTAAATTTGCAAAAACTCATTAAGAAATATGTGTATTTTTCTGTCTAGTCTTTTGTAAAAGTTCTCCTGTGATAAAAACAGAAAGGAAAAATGGGAAAATTCTACTTTACAATGCTATGCTTCTTTTATGATTATACTATGTCAATCAATTACCACTTCTTTTTACCTGTTGCATTTCTAAATAGTAATTGAAAGGCCATGGCCAATGGATTGTTTTTTCTGTAAGCAAAGAACATATTATGGTAAGCAGAAAATATATTCTAGAATACATTAAATACCTCTAGACCCACTTCACCTCGAGCTACTCTCCAAGCCAATGACCCAGATATTCTTCCACCAAGTTCTCCAGGTTTAGGGGTTTTGGGAGATATAAATTCAACAAGTTCCACAATTATCCTCTGCAGAAGTTCTTTTCTTCTACTTTCTGATAAAGATAGTTGTCTCTGTCATTAATATTAAAAAAAAAGATAAGATTACAGAAATGTAAGAATCCAAGTCTAAGCAAGAATATAATTAAAACATAACATCTGTATTTTATGAGATCTTAAAAAAAGCAATCAATTTGATTTCCATACACGTATTATTTGGAAAATAAAACAGTGTGGAAAACTTAATTTTATGCTGAGAAATCATTTAACATCTATTTCTCTGCATGACCTCCGCTATCCTAGGTTTAGAACAGAGGTAGCACCTTCGGTTTTTGGCTATGATGGACTAGGATGTTGTTATGCTTTGCATCTAGGTGTCCCCCCAAAGCCTCGTGCAGTCACAGGTGGGGCTTTTTCAGAGGTGGCTGGATCTACCATGTGTGATGCTGGGATTAACTATGTGTGCTTACTAAATTAGTCCACTGATAGTTTTGGCACCTGCCCTAAACTGAATAGCCTAGATAGAATATAAAAAGAGCAGAAAGAAGCCTCTATTGTTGCTTGTCACTAGTAGCTTGCGTGCTTTTGCTGTCTTCTGCCCGCCTTGAACTGTTTTTCCTCTGTAACGCCCCTCTACCATCATATCCTGCTTGGAGTCAGCCAATGATGAACTGTAAGTTCTACAAACTGTAAGTCAAATAAACCTTTCCTCCTTTAATGTTGGATTTCAGGTATTTTATTCTCAGCAATGAGGAAGTGTAACTAAGACAGAATTTGGTACAAGGATTGGGATCAGGAAGGGTTCACCCAGATTTCAAAGGAAGGCATGAGGCCAGGCTGTGTACCTGAGAGGGTAGTATGTGAAGCTCTGAGTGTGAAGCTGAAGATGCAGAGAACTCAGAAGTTTGGAGAAGCCAGGAACATAGATCGTGTGAGGAAAACTGCAAGGAGGGAGCAGAGCAGGCCCAAGAGAGAAGTCACAGGAGCTACTATAACCACAAGCAGTGCTACAGGGGTGGAGCAACCCAAGCCCCTTGGAATTCACATCTTGCCACAGACTGCCTTGAATGCTGGACATGGAACTATAGCACTTAATGTTTACCCTGCAGGGTTTTATTTTTGCTTTGTTCCCATTCTTTTCTATCCCCTTAATTTGTACCTTTTGGAACAGAAATGTGTGTTTTCTGCCATTGAATGTTGGAAGTGTTTAACTTCCTTTTCATTTGTATAGGGGCTTGCAGCTACGAGTTTGCCTTAAATCTCAGTGGAGACTTCAGACTTAAAGACTTTCCAGCAATATTGAAACTGTTAGAATTCTGGCAACTTTCGGAGATAGACTAAATGCCTTTTGCATAAAGGGATGTACATGAATGAGTCTTTGGGGAGCCAGGGGCAGAGTGCTAGAGCTTGAGTTTAGATGTTCCTCAAAGCCTCGTGCAGTTATATGTGGGGCTTTTTCAGAGGTGGGTGGATCCAGAGTGTGTGACTGATTCATGGTGCAGTGCTAGGATTAACGGTGCTAGGATTAAGGGTGCTAGGATTAAGGGCGTGAGTGCTATCTGCACTAAAAACAGGTAGCCTGGATACAACATAAGGGACAGAAAGAGGCTTGCTTGCTACTTATTTGTAGTCTGTCACTTGTCACTAGTCACTTGATTACTTTACTACCTTCTGCTTGCCATGGGCTGTTTCTCCTCTGTAATGTCTGTCTGCCATGCCACCCTGCCTTGGAGCTAGATGATTATGGAATGAAATCTTTATAAACTGTGAGCTAAATAAACTATTACTCCTTTAACTCTGGGTGTCCAGTATTTCATCTCAGCAATGAGAAAAAGTAAGGATGACAGAATTTGGTACCAGGTAAGTGGGGTTATTGCTAGAACTGTACCTGACTGTGTGGTTTAAGAGCCTCTGCACTTGGCTTATGAGAAGAGTCTGGAAAGGTTCAGAGATCCCAGACAAAGAAGCAACCCTGGAATGCCTAAGGCTGCACCTGATGCGAGATTCTGGTCAGAGCTCAGAGACCTGGAATGGTGACAGAAATATCGCTGGTTACGCCCAGGTCCAGGAGGTTTCTGCTGGGAGGAATGACTGCATTGGGTGTTGGGACTCCAGACAATGTGTGCTATGGCTTGGCATAAAGTCTGCCTGCATTTTGTTCATATTCAGAGACTGCTTGAGACTGAGATAAGAGCAGTGATCTAATTAGGTGGCAGAAGAAATTTCAATGCAGTCTAATGTTGAAGCTGTGGCATGGCTACTGTTGGAAGCTTTCAACCTGATTTATGTTTTGAGAATCAAAAGTAGAGCTCAGCAGAATGATTCAAAATATTGGGTTTGGCCAGAAAGGAAGCTCCAGTACAGTCGTGGTCTGCAAAGATGGAACAGAGGAGAAACTGGTAGCTGAAAAACTAGCAAGAAAAGTCAAGCATTTCAGAAGATGACAACAGAAAAGATGGTCTGAGGATATCACAAGAACTAGCAAAACCACAGCCTGGGCAGCCTCAGAGTTGCAAAGGTGAAAGACTTTGCTTTGAGAAGAAATCCCCAGAGCACCATGTTCCAAAATAGCAGTGGCCTAGAGAATTTCATCCTTGGGATTAGATTCAGAGTCTTCAGCAATCCAGGCACTTGACCTCTATATCCAAGAAAGAAGAAAAACTGGCTACTCCTTCAGCAGGCAGCAGACCCTGGTATCAGCCACATGGTGCTGGTTGTAGGTGCATGTAGAAGAAGAGTTGTGGGGTCAGGAAAACTTCCACTCGTATTTCAGAAGGTCTGGGAGGCCAGGTAGTGTGCCCTTAGAGGACAGTGTGTGAAACTGTAAGCATGAAGCCGAAGGTGCGGTGGAGATCCCAGAAGGAGTCTGGAGATGCCAGGAACATGTATTATCAGAGAAAAGCTGCAAGGAGTAAACATAGCCAAGCTCAAGAGAGAAGCTGTGAGAGCTGTTACCAGTAGTGTCACAGGGGTAGAGCCATCCAAGCCCTTTGGAGGTCATATCTTGCCACAGATTGCCAGGGATCTTGGATAGAACTACAGGATTTAATCTTTTGCTTTGCTGTATTTTGGTCCTGCTTTTTTTCCTATCCTTCCTGACCCCCTTTTTGTACCTTTTGGAAGAGAAATGTTTATCTTATACCATTGTATGTTGGAAGTGTTTAATCTTTTCCTTTGTACAGAAGCTCACAGGTGAGTTTGCCTTAAATCTCAGAGGAAACTTTGAACTTGCACTTTTCAGCAATGCTGAAACTGTTAGGACTTTGGTGACTCTTGCATAAAAGGATATGCATAAGCCTTTGGGGGTCCAAGGGTGGAATGTTATGGCTTGTGTTTAGATGTCACCCCAAAGCCTCATGAAGTCAGAGGTGAATGAATTATGAATATGTGATGCTGAGATTAAGGGTGTGTGATGACTAAATTAGTTTACTGATTGGCTTGGCATCTACCCTAAACTGGGTAAACCAGACAGAATATAAAAGGGGCACAAAGAAGCTGCTATTATAGTTTGCTTCCTTTTGTTGTCTTCTGCCTGTCTTAGAACTATTTCTTTTGTGATGGCCCTCAGTCATGCCATCCTGCCTTGGAGCCAGCCAACTATTAACTGAAAGCTCTATAAACTGTAAACAAAATAAACTCTTCCTCCTTTGAGTGTCAGGTATGTTGTCTCAGCAACGAGGAAAAGTAATTCAGACAGTTGTATTTTGTCAAATCCTTGCTAAGAAAAGGTAGAGAAACATACACACATATTCAAACACTTGTTTGAATGCAACAGACAGGTACCAATATAGCTAGAACTTGAGAAGTCAAGACCAAGAGAGGAAATGAACTGAATTGAAGGGAACATAATGCACCCCTCTCTACTTCTAGGCCTTTGCCAATTATTAAGTAGGTAAGAAGAAAAGGCTGGAAAACTAAGCACAAACTAATGATTAAAGTGCAGAACACCAAAGCAAAATTCTTAGCAGAATCAAAGTGCAGGAGAAAATAAATAAATTAGCAATGTAAGAGTTTTCTGAGACAAGATGGTCTAGCAAATACTCTAGCTTTTCAGGTTGGGATCTCCAAGGGTTATACATGAAAGATAACAGATTCAAAATAAAATGGGAAGTCACTGTGAATGTCAATTACTAGATTAAGGTGGTCTGTTCTATTCTGGTTGCCAGCCAGAAGCAAAATTATTTGCTTTTAAGTTAAAAAAATTTCATGTGTATAGAATTGAATATTTCACTATGAAAGCAGTATGAAATGAACCTTCCTTCTTTGATAGCCCGAATTCCTTCTCTTCTCAGAAGTAGTCACTGCTAGCTGGGCATGGTGGCACACACCTGTAATCCCAACACTCAGGAGGCTGAGGTAGGAGGACTGCCCTGAGTTTAAAGATAGCCTTGGCTACACCGTGAACAAGTGAAGGGGAGAGAGGACAAGCCTCCTTCAGTCCCTTATACTATATGCAGGCTTCCCAACCTAGGGCACATAGAGCACTCACACCCTTAATTCCAGCATTGGACAATGAATCTCAGACTCAATTCAATCTCAGACTCTAGATTCAGCCACCTCCAAAAAGCCTAACCCCCATGACTGCATGACGCTTTGCGGTGTCAGCTAAACACAAACCAAAACGTATACCTGCTTATTAAGCCCATTAATAGTCTCACGAAGTAATTCTTCTGTTATTGCAGTTCTTCTGGAGATCACCTCTTCATGCTTACAAGAATATCTCCAAGTGACATCAACTACCTGAAACAGATAACAATACAAATATTTAGTAAGAGTAGAACTATCAACCTTTATTTGATAAATACCTAAAATATATGTAACGTAACTGCAATTTAAGAAATACTATACTATGTAAGTTTTAAAAACCTGTGAAGGAAGCTGAAGACAATATCTTGCTTTTAAAAAAATTTCTGAAAAGGTATACTTCCAAGAAGCACTTTGATAAAAAGATGAAAATTTCAGAATACTAGCTTTTTAAGATTTACTCACAAAGCTGATTCTACAAATTGAACAAGAATAAACTTTATCTATTTTATTATGTTCAATTTATATTACAGAACAACTTATTTTTGATAAAAGTGTGATGATTCAATGGAAAAAGGAGAGTAAGGTGCTGGCATATGTATGTAATCCTAGCACTCAGAGGCTTAGTTAGGGGGACTGCTGCGAGTTTGAGGCCAGCCTAAACTACACAGTGAAAACAACAACAAAAAAGAGAATCTCTGCAACAAATGGTACTGAAACAATTCATTATCCATATGCCTCAAATGCATTTCGATCTATACTTGGACCATCTGCAAACATTTACTCAAATTGATTGCAGACCAAATGTAAAGCTAAAAATGTACAGTTTCTTTAAAAAATGAGAGATAATATTATGACCTGGACTAGGTAAAAATTTCTTAGCTACAACATCAAAAATCACAATCTATTAAAAAAGAAAAACAGCACTGGTCAATTGGACTTCACTGATTTGTTTTTTTCAAAAGTCATTAAAGAGCATCAAAAGCTACTGACAAAAGAGAAAAAACTTGCAAACCATGTATCTGATAAAGTGCTTATATAAGAATACATAAAGAATTCTCAAAATTCAATGATAAGAAAACAATGTCAAAAAATCAGCCAACAGGAAGATACAGATGGCAAACACGTAAAAAGGCCCTAAACATTATCTGTCATTAGGAAAGTACAAATGAAAAGCAAGGCAATATCCACTACACACCTATTAAAAGGGCCACAATTTAAAATTCAACAATAATAAATGTTAGCAGGGATATGAAAAAACAATGTTCACATACTACTAGTGAGAATATAAAATGGTGCAATCACTTTGAAAAAAATGGCTCACCAGTTTCCTAAGAAGTTGTATATACACTTACCATATGATCCAACCATTCAACTCTGAGGCATTAAACAAAGATAAAAACAAATATATGCCTATATAAAGACTTGTGAAATTAAATATTTAACAAGCTTATTTTAAAACATTAAAGACAGAAAATTACCCAAGTGTTCACCAACAGTGAACCAGGGTGCATCTACACACTGGAATACGGAGAATAATAATGATTTCATGTGTATGCAAATGACCAACTTTATTAAATTTCAGACTTTAAATATGCATCTTATTATTGTCAGTTATGCCTTCAGAAAACGGTCAAAGAAGAAAAAATACATTTTACTGTTGGAAACCAGTTTTTTTCTCTTATGCCCTACCTCATCTTTAGAAAATGCTATGATATAGGAAAGCTTCTTGCCCCATCCTATTTCATAAAGGAGTGGTTTGTCACAGACATCTTCACATGCATCACAGTGCAGCCACCGCTGCTGAGAAGGAGAATAGACTTCTGTCCAAACATGGTCTACTCAAGTAAGAAAAGAAAGAAAAATAAGGAAATAAAAGTGAACTGTATAAAACCACAATGGCTTCCAAATCTATATATGAACTCCTAAGGATCACATCATAAACTGTAATATTCTAAACTTCAGCTAGTAAAAGTGAGCGTTTTGTGGTGCATGCAACTCTAGACTAGAATAATAACCTTTCATGCAGTCAATTTTAGAAAATAAAAATAATGTGTATCACTCTAAAGAAGGCAAACATATTAAACATAGCATCAAAACTATCAGCCTCAGTTTGCCAATGTGAAGGAAATTAGTGCTACTTTTGAAACTGCAGTATGTTTCTCTGGACCCTAAAATGCAGAAATACCAGGCAGTTTAACTGAATTTCTCATTACTGATGATTTATATTTGACTATAAAAACATAAATGTTAACTGAAGGTTTAATTTGATTCTAAAAATAAAAACACTGAAAACACAAGTAGAACTCTAAAACAAGAAAAATGACTTTTGAACATGTAGACAACATGAGTTATTTCTAAATAAAGACAATGAAGACGTCTTTGGCTTTTCTTAACATTATTTCCGTACACTGTGACTTCTTGACTAAATCATTATAGTAATCCCTCTGAAAGTGAAGATTTCTATAGCACATTATTATACATTCTGATCTATGCAGGAACATTGCTGTGAATGTCATGATAAAGTGTTAACAGAACAGAGTGCAAAGTATAGTACCAGACACTGTGCTGGTACACTACAAAAACCTTGTGCTTTCTTCAAAAAAACCTGAGGTTAGGATTACTATTATTTCATAGATGACAAATGGAAGATTAGACGAACAAGGAAATATGAAAAGCTGATAAACTCAGCGTAAACTTAAGCTGTAAATATACAAAGCAATATTGCTCCTCTGCTCATGCCACGTTCTGTACCTGTGTAATCCCAAACATAGCGAGCCTCAAACCCTAAAGCTCGGCAGCACAGTGTGAAACAATTGGCCCACTCGCCACATCGTCCACATCTTGTCTCCAGAAGTTTCTCAGGGTTGTTATATCTGGTTTAATAAAACAACAACAAAAAACCAACAGCTCTTATTTGCTATCAAAATAAAAATTTTTAAAGAATGTATATTACGTCTATGCTAAATATTCATCATGTTTCTTAATTTCTTTTAAAATATTGATTGAAAGGCCTAGAATATGTAAGACATTGTGTTAGAATCTTTGTTGAAAAGTGCTAACAGTGGCAATGGGAGTTTAAAAGTCCTATAGCGTGAAGAATTAATACATTTTTACTACATGGCAGAGTGGGACAGAAACTTTACAACAGGTCTGATTTACTGTTGTGGAAAGTGGTTAGGGAGGAGAACTCATTTGAAGTGGGCCTTAAAATACAAGTTTGGATAGACACATTCTGTAGGAAATCTAAGGTATTAAACATTAACAACTGGTAATAACTAGCTCACTGTGTTAAAAGGTAAATGACTTTAAGCTGTTCAATAAAGATTTCAAGTTGGTTCAATTTTACTTAAAAGCTATTTATCCTTTCTAATTATCATTTTGATTAAATATTTATTCTTCTCAAGTATTAAAGGTGCTTGCTAACTTGGAAGTTGTTTTCAAAGAAGTCTTCAGCACAAAAGTTACTCCAATTGCAGGGCTTGATGGCGCACACCTGTAATCTCAGCACTCAGGAGGCTGAAGCAGGAGGACTGCTCTGAGTTTGAGGCCAGCCTGGACTACATGGTAAGTTCAAGGGCACCCTGAACTACAGAGCAAGACTCTGTCTCAAAAACAAAAATAAAAGTTACTCCAATTATAAAACTGTCATAAATATGGAGAATACCAAATTTCCACATGGTATTGAGAAGGCTTTTGAGTTGGAATAGCTAAAAAGGAAAAGTGCTCTATTCTAGCTAACTACACAGGTCACTCATGAGCCCAGAAGTCAAAAGAGGCAAAAGAAATAGGCATAATGAGCTGGCTCTGCAATCACAAACCTGTTGAGCAGATACTTTTGCTTAAGCTAAATTAAATGCATTTAGAACTTAAGTAATTAACTGAAAAAGATGTGTGTTTATTTATTATTATTGTTTTCTTGAGACAAGGTCTCACTGTGTAGTTCAGGGTAGTCTTGAATTCACTATATAGCCTAGACTGATCTCAAACTCATGGTGATCCACCTGCCTCAGCCTCATTCACAGGTGCTGGAATTACAGGTATGCACCACCACACCCAGAAAGATGTGAATTTAAATTGAAGCACAGTAACAGAATCAGAATATCCTATGATTCCATCTCCTGTATACACCACTTGTGCCAAGACAAATGGATCAGATGAAGGGCATAGTATAGTAGTGGCAGTGTGTGCACTTGGCATGTGCTTGGCATGTGTAACTCTGGTTGGATCCCCAAACCTTCCCTGAGCCCCCCTCAAAAGGGTAGATTAGTTTCCAATTAATAGTGTTTAGGGCTGGTAGGGCTGGAGGTACAGATCAGTGGCAGAGTGCTTTTCTAATATGCTTGAGGCCCTGGGTTAGATCTGCACTGAAAAAAAAGTATGTGTTATCCTAACCCAAAAGAGAAAATAGCTAACAATAAAACAAGAAATTGATTAGAAAGGAAAAAAATTCTTTGCATTAACATCTATGCTAGTCTGCGCCACTCCACACTGCATTATTAGTTTAAAACCCAACTGCCTAAAGAGTTTATGAGGAGGCTATAAATATATATATCTACTAATCTCTTTATCTACTAATCTCTGCAGAAGGGTTGTGCAGATGTATGGTGAATGAAGAAATAATACTAATTACAGATAATCACTGGGTATTAGATTCTGTTTAGCTTGTATTTTGTATGCAATAGGGCTATTCCAAATTAAGGACAGAATTGACTACCTAGGTCAGCTCTCACCTAGGTTGGCTTAGAAACATGATATCTTTTTTTGCATAATAATACAAATAAACTGTAATATCTGCTAATTAGAAAATATGACATGAGTCTTATACATTAAAAGATGGAAAAATTAACTGAAAAAAGGTATTTCAAAAACTTTGTATCTTTTTTGCACAATACAAACTTTGTAAGTATTGCTAATTAGAAAGTAATATGAGTCTTACACATTAAAAGATGGAAAAATCAATTGAAAAATTAAAATTTCCTTATTTAAAAATTAGAGATATGAGGGGTAGGTCAGGTTGGGTAGGTAGGAGATTCCTAGTTAAAACGAATTTCTACCTTTAAAAGAAAATAATATGATTGCACTACACTACACTTAACCAAAATTTAATGATTATTTTAAGTATTCTTAATGCATATGAGTACTTTCAGAAAATTAAAAATCACACATTAAAAGAATATAAGATTTGGAGAACTGAAAATACTATGACTATGCTCAAAATGTGTAATCTTGTAAAAGAACCAAAAGAAAATATTTTAGAGTTTGTAGGTATTACGGTCTGTCTGTCACCAACATATAACTCCACTATTGTAGCCTGAAAACAGTCACAGACTCTAAGCAAATGAATCTTCAGGGCTGTATTCTAATAAAACATTATTTACGAAAGCAGGTGTGGGCTGGCTTTAGCCTACCAGTCACTGCAGACCTCTGTTCTAAAAAAATGTATTTCTAATAGGTAAAATGAAGATGTAAGAGTTTACCTAATAAAAATTTGCTTCTAGTCTTTCCATTCAGAGATTACTGTAGCTTTATTTTCCAGATACCCACCTTGGGAATCGATTGTTGAGCTGACATGTATCACAGTAATGATCTTCTACAAGGTGTGCACCCCACTTTAGCTCCTCCTCATTGGGTAATAATGACTTATCTTTAGATCTAGTCTTTCCACCACATTTGGTGCATGAAATGTCATTTACCCAATGAAAAAATTCCTCCTTAAACCAGTGCAAAAGCTCCAGCAAAAGAAAATCCTCATCACTTATATTGGCACCTGAAAAGTTAAAAAGAGAACCAACTGAGATCCAAAGCTGACAAAAATCTAAAAATATCCACACATATTGTACTGTACATATTCTCAAGTTGGAGCTGAAATATATAAAGCAGAGCATGATATAAAAGACTTTCATAAATAAGATGTATGAGTTGCGGGTATATGACAATGTGAACTAGGCAGAAATACAATGACCTCTGTAACTACACATTTAGAACAGGACATTTACTATCTTTTGTTTTGCTTTATTTTTGAGACAGGGTCTCCTATATAGTCCAGGCTGACCTTGAACTTGCTATGTAGGTGAAGGTAGCCTCAAACTTGCAGTGATCCACTTGCCTAAGCATCCAGAGTGCTAAGATTACAGGTGTATGCCACCATGCCTGGATCATTTACTGTTTTATATCTACTCTCTGACATGCATAACAAGTGTTACATAATGACTTGCAGGAAACTACAGTCAGTTTAGAACTATCTTGAAACACAAGCAAGTTAGGAAAGTCTAATTTCAAAAACCATTTAAGGATGGGTACAAGTGGGGATACAGATTAGGGCTTAGAGGCCTACAGAACTCTAGTTAGTCATGATCAGAAAAAAAAAAAAATTAAAGCATATAACAGTCAAGAAATTTCAGAATATTCCAGAAATTCAACACAAAAAACAGAATGGTAAAAGTAGTTAGAAAAAGAAATCACCTATAAAGGAAAACCCATCAGAACCACAGCGGAGTTCTCAACTCAAACCCTTAAGTCAAGGACAGCTTGGAGTGAAATATTTCAAGCCCTAAAAGACCCAATTCAGAATGATGTACCCTGTAAAATTATTTTTCAAACTTGATGGAGAAATAAGATACTTCCATGACAAAGAACACCTGAAGAAATTCATGACCACCAAACCAACACTCTAAAAAGTTCTGAAGGATATTGTAGAAAAACACTTAAGACAGCAATTGAATCCTAATAGAATGAGTCCACAGGTAAGGCAGCAATTAAACAGAAGGGAAAGAAAGGGAACCAACCACAGGAAAATATATATGACAAGGATAAATTGATACATGTCCATTGTAACTATAACTGTGAATAGTGTCAATTCATCAATCATATGAAACAGATTGACAGAATAAATCAAGAAACAAGACCCACCAATATGCTGCATACAAAACCACATTTAACCAGAAAGAAATTCATAGACTGAAAGTCAAAGGATGGAAAAAATAATCCACGGCACAGGAACCCGGAATAAAGCAAGAGTAGCTATTCTATTTGAAGTCATAGTGGATTTCAAGCCAAGACTGATCAAGAGACACAAAAGCTCGGAGCTG